ATATATAATTTTAAATGAATGATAGGTGGGCCCCGGTCATTTTTGATGTGCTAAATATTCGAGTACCACATTCTACAAACGCCCATGAGAGAGGACTTAATTATTTTCTATGATATCTTTTAATATGATTTTTTCACTATAATATTATATAAGTGAATATTAAAATTTATTTGTAAAATATTATTTCAGAAAAAATCCTATAAAATAAAATAAAAAATTATTTGTTAATAAATTCCGAATAAAACTTAGGGTATATTTGGGGCAGCTGCAGCTTATTGGATAATCTGCTGATAAACTAACTGGGTGCAGCAGTTATTATAAATTTTTATTTGTTTTAAAAAATGAGACCCAACCCAAAAACTCCCACTTGAAAACTCCCTTAGTGTTTTTTACATACATAACACCCAAAAAATTACTATTTACAAATCTAACCTTCTATAATTCATTTTTTTCATTTTTAATGTAATTATAAAAAATTGTAAGTAGTTATTCCTAAAATTTAATTCAAAATTAGTAATATCGCTTAGGAAATTTGTTAAGAAAAAAATATTAATATAATATTTCCATGAATACCTCTGCATCATACTGAGGGAGAGCGCCATCAAGCAATAGATAGCAGTGATAATCGTCATCGACCCGAGCAATCCCAACGGAATATCTCGCGACGGATTTCTCGTCTCCTCAGCCATGGTGGCGATATTATCAAACCCTCCGTACGCAAAATACACTATCGCCGCCGCTCGAAAAACACCCTCAACTCCAAACGGCAAAAACGGCGATAAATTCTCCGTTTTCGCGTGAGCGAATCCCGCTATTATGACGAACAATATCACCACCACATGTATCGCGGAAGCAACCCAGTTGAAATAAGAGGTCTTCTTGGTGCTCAGCACGGCGATCGCCGCCGTCAAGAACAGAACCACGACGGCGATCGGATCCAGTAGATTGAAGTTTTCAGCGAGATCTGTGCTTATGCGAAGCGAATTAGGGGGGCGATTGATGAGAGTGGCGAGGTAGGAGGTCCAAGCCCTGGATACAGCGGCACCGCCGATGATCATTTCGAGGATGAGATTACCGGCGGCGATGAAGGCGGCGAAATCGCCGAGTTCGACGCGGAGGTAGGCGAAGGATCCGCCGGCGACGGGGATTTCGACGGCGAATTCGGTGTAGCAGAAAACGGAGAGCATGGCGGAGATACCGGAGATGATGTAGGAGAGGAGGATGGCGGGGCCGGCGTGTTGGTGAGCTTCTTGGCCTGTGAGGACGAAGATTCCGGCGCCGATGACGGAACCGAAGCCGAACCAGGTGAGATCCCACCAGGAGAGGGAGCGCTGCATATCGTGCTCGCTGCGGCTGCGGAGGGTGGTGAGTTCTTCGGAATCGGTGGAGCGGGCGAGGAGGCGGGCGAGGAGGCGGTGAGGGGTTTGGGAGAGGGAGGAGAGGTAGGAGGACCAGCTGCGGAAGGAGGGTTCGGGGAAGAAATCATCGCGGCGGAATCGAAAGTAGGAATCGGGGAGGTGATCTTGCTTAGTGTTATCGGCCATTGAGGGATATGATTAGAAGGAGTCTGAGGGGGAGCAGGTTTTTGGAGGAGCGGGCAACAGAGTTAGCCGCTCTTATAAGAAATTGAATTCGTTGTGACAATTTAAAAAAAAAATGGAAATTTTCCTAATTTTTTATGACATAATAGTATGCCACAATTCTTATATATTTATGAAAATTTTAAATTTTTACACACACACACACTATATATATATATATTTATATTTATTTATTTATTTCAAAAGGAACTATCACAGGCTATTATAGGAGCTTCCAGTCATTTTTACTGTGCCTAACAATTTGAATATTATCTTCTTAAGGCTAATTGTGTTAGAGGGAATTCAAACTCCCGACCTGAGATATTTTATACATTGGATGCCAACCAACAAACCGCGCGAAACACATAAATATTTAAAAAAAAAAAGTTGATCCCGATCAACCCCATAGTCTGACAGAGGGGCAGATCCCCTTTATAAAAAAATGTGCAATTCAATCATACGAATGGATCGAACCCCGATCCGAGGGACTTACACCAAAGACAGTAACCAATGAGTCAAGCTAAGACACTGACAATATTTGTGTGTGTGTTGTTTTATCTATGAATTTAAAAAAAATCTCTTTTACTTTTTTAATGAAATAGCTATATTTTTTAAGTGATATGGAGGTTCTGAATGGTGTGAATCTAAAAAAATAAAGGGAATAATTACATATAGACCAACCAAAATATTAATATTTACAATTAAACAATGCTGGTGTTTTTTTTAATAACCAAGTCGATGTATTTATGCGCACCACAATCAAATTATTGTGATTTGATAAAAATAAAAAATATATGAATTTGGGTTTTACCATGTACTCTGACATTCAAGAGAGAATTTGAAAAATGGAAGAAAGAGGAGGTTATATATGAAAATATATAAGAACTTGGGATAAATTTGTAAATTTTCCATTTTCTTAAAATAAGGAGCTTTAAATGTAAATATATTTTATATTACAAATTACAATCATCTTAAATTAATGACAATTTTAATCATTATCATTATGATTTAATTACATTATCAAAACTCTAATTTATTTTCTCAAGAAAAGGTCAATTTATTAGCAACTCAAATAATTTTTATTAAATTATTTGAAAAAAAAATGAATTTTGCCCATAATCTAAGCAATGCTAGAAATAGAAAGAAATTGGAGGAAGTCTTAATATGAAATAAAAACAAAGTAAGAATTATTAATGAAATAATTTTAATAAAAAATTCTAATTTTTTTTTATCAATATTGCTTTGATTTTATTCCGTGTGTCCATGGAATTACTTGATATGTATATTTATATATAATTGTGACATTGATGCGCACTTAAAAATCATATTAATCTACATGAATATTGAGGAATGATTCAAAAGTTAAATTTTCAGATGGTACACTTTTATTTAGGATAAATGAAGTGTCATAACGAGACAACCCAAATAATATTAAAAATAATCGGATATAAACCTAAATGAGTCCAGATCATGCACTTGAAGCAAAATAGAAGTTTTCGAATATATTTTGAGGGACCAAATGATCTCCAAATATGACAGGTTTATTTTCAAATGAAGCATCTCGAAGAGACAATCCAACGAGCCTAAGATCATTTAATTCAGATATTATTAAGTCATTCAAATATTCATAAAGTTATATCTAATCGAGTGAACCATTATGAGTAGTCTAGATTCTTGCAATATTTTAAATGAATGTCACTCACAAAAACTATAAATAGACCTCTACTTTCTTCATGAAGAGGAACTAGTCCCAAACCTTGATCTGGACCTCGTGGAGAAATTGAAGGGGCTCCAAGCTCTTAAGAGTTTCTGAGCTCCACCACCGCGAGTCCACTGTGGTTGAGCCATCGCCATCATTGTGCCACCATTGCATGGGCACCACAGTTATGACGCTAGACTACCACCCTTTGGTCTCCGTCATCGTTGGATCATTCTTGTCTGATCACCACCATCAAAGCTACCAGACAACCATCGTCTGGTCACATCCATCGTTAGAAAATCACCACTCAAATACCATCATCGTCTTCGTCAAATCACCGCCAGAACACTGTTGCCTGAAAATCACAGCCAGACTACCATCATCTGTTCGTCACCGCCATCAAACGGTTAGTCAAGTCGCCATCACCACTTGACCATCACTGCATGGCCACAACTGTTGTCGTACCCATATCACAGTAGCCTTGTCATGTTCATGTGAATCAACATAGTTTCTCGAATCGACTGATGGAATTCTGTGTTGAGTAAGCACAATTCCCAAGTTGATTTATCAAGTCCCCAAATATGATTACAGGGTCATTTTGTTGTGAATCGAACAAGTGATGGTTGTGTTAATAATATATTTTCTTGATTATTTGGTTTCTCTTTTATTATTAGGCTAGTGATGCTGCTTAATCAATATTAACGACAATTAATTGTTTTATCGAAAGAAATTTCGTATTTGACATAGGCAAAAGAAACCCAAACGATTATGATTCATTGGAAATAAAATTCTATTACAAGTACATAGCATTTTTATGGATAGAGCACTTTGAGATCTTACATGCTCCATATGCAACGTACTTCTTATCATATGTAAGTTGGCATATTGCATGCACCTTGGGTGGCTCGTTTACTTATGATGAATTGTCCAATCTATGTCTGATTGAGCTTTCCTACGACTTATTTTTGCATGGTTGGATCGACATGCTTTAACACGATATATCCATCCCTAAAGATGTTTTCCCATACTTTCTTGTGATCCTTCTCTTGATCTCCTCTTGCTTGAGGACTAATATGACGTGATTTTCTTCCATTGTGTTGAGGAGAAGTTCTAACACTTCTTTGTTGGCATTTTGTCATTCACCCAGACTGTCTTCATCAAATTTCGACGTTGTAATTAATATGTTGCTGTAGAAATTGTATTCTACAATTAATAGTATGGTCGTCCCTGATGATGATGTTCAAATTTTCCATAGAACAGACCAGAAGAGGTCGACTCAGCTTCCTTTTGCACTCTTAATATTTTTTTCTCATTAAATTAAGTATTATTTTGCTTTTCGATTTGTTCATGGGTTGTGGGCGAAGACGAGCTTGAGGCTGATCACCTGGCTTTGGCAAAAGTCCTTGGCGCCCTGGTCAGAGAATTATGTTCCTTATCATTGGTAATTAAGGGTAAACCATATATACTTATCAGTATGTCCGTATGAAGTTGTGGAAGACCTCGGTGGTAATTCCGGCGAGTGCTTTGGTTCAATCTACTTGAAGAAGTAATCTATTGCTGCCAACATATATCTTCTTTATCCCTTTGAAAGTGGAAATGATCTGAGGATGTCGAGTTCTTAGATAGTGAATGGCGATGGCCACTGGTTGGAGATAGTTTGTAGCTTGTGTGATGGCTGGTGTTACATCGAAGCAAATTTATGACAATATTTGTATCTTCATAAAAATTCTTCCTTTCTTTTTTTGAGGGACGGCTAGAAATATCGTTATCGTTATACTCAGCAAGCTTAATTTTTTCCCCTTCAAATAGATTATGTATTCATCATAATGAGCTTTATGGAGAATTCCTTGAATTTCACCCTCACTTACACACTAATGGAACAATGATGTTGTTAACCTTCTCAAAAGCTTGCCTTCCAATGAGAGGTATTGGGCAGCTTTGAACTTGAAGCATCTCTAATTGGTTACTTTTTTGGGGGTTTCCCATTTTCAGGAAGTAAATATACAAAATCAATGAACTTTTTGCTCTCTGAACTTCTACTTCTATTTTTTTGGGTTCTTCATTAGTAATACTGATAAGTTCTTGCAGTGTTCCTCTCTCTAGACGTCTGCACTTAGATAAGAAGTTGGTCACTAGATTACCCTCTCAATGAACATGTTTGATCATGAAGTGTTCAAAATTCTCTATCTCTGTCTTTGCCTACATGTAATACCTCTCTATCATTTCTATCCTAGCCTCAAACTGCTCATTCATCTAGCTAACTACAAGGTATAAGTTGGACCTCGCGAGGTGTCATGCGCCTACCCATTAGTGAAATGTAATCCTATTATCAGGGTTTCATATTCATCTTAATTAATTATAACTTCAAATTCTACCTCTACTAAGTGATAGAAGTAATCTCCATTTGGGCTCATTAAGGTGAATTTGAGTCATGCTCTAAGTATGATTTGATGTTCGACGTGTAAGGTTTAGGTTGGTTATGGAGCCGCTGCTTCATCTTTGGGATAGTCAGATTGGGTAAAATTCTTTAAGAAGTCTGCCACCGCTTGTGTTTTAATTATAATTCTCAAAACAAAAGACACATAAAATATGTTGAGCTCTACCGTCCATTCGAGGAGTCGATCGGAATATTCTCACTTGGTAGGACTGCCTTAAGGAGAAGGTTGGAGATCACTCAGATCAGACAAATTTGAAAATATGGAAGTTTGTGTGATAAAACAGTAATAACATGCATTAATTTTTCCGTGATAGGATACCCGTGTTTCGCGCCCCCCCCAGGACTCAGCTAATGTAATAGACTGAGAATTTCTTTCCTTGCTCCTCCTAGATCAAAATTGAGCTTATCGCTTCGAGACCGACTCTTAGGCGAAGTGAGAGTTATTGGGTTGACTTTGGCTTTAGAGAAGGGGTAGAGAAGCTAAGTCAACAATGAGTGGAGCAATGATGATGACTTTGTTATAGGAGTTTATATCGGCAAGTAGTTCTTTGTAGATGAAGGATATTGACAGATATTGTCAGCTCCTAATGCCACAAACTCTTTAAGCTTATTAGATGTAATCAGTTCTTCGATTAGGTTTTAAAGGTGACATCACTCCTACATATCATGTTTGTGGTCCCAATGGTAACCTCCTGCCTTCATATGTGGTGTCTTCTTGAAGTACTCTTTATTTTGAATAACTTTCACTATTTCTGCCAAGAAGAACCATAGAGAAGTTTATTGAGGAAGTTCGTGGGTAGGAGGCGGCTTTTTCTCCTCATTTTGTTCACTCAGTTCTCGTGGGATCTATCACAGTTTTTTGACGGGTAGACCCCATATCTGCCAATCAAAGGTTTGAGAGCAGTCTTGCACCTCCCATTTTTATTCTATTTTTTAATTTTTTTAAAAATCAAATGAGGACCAGTCGGCCAACCAACCCAATGATCAAAACCAACAGACCGGAAAGACTAACCAACTTAGATCAGACCAAGACCGACCGATACTCAAGACCCAACCGACACTCAGCACCAAATCATCGACTCGACCAAAGACCAACTAATAGAGGCTGACTGACAGGAGAAGTATCAATGATATAAATATCATTTAACAATTATTTCAGTGCCATTTAAATAAAGTAAAATTAAATATAATAGGAGTTACAAAATTTAAGATCACAATACTTATTAAATTTCTCTCTATTAGAGGATAATTAAAATAAGAGAAAGAAATAATAAGAGAAATAGTAGAGAGATATTTAAGAATGTGTCCTTATTATCATCATTATATTTTTCCTTCTTTTTTTTATTTAATAAGTTACAAGTCATGTACTATATTTATTTTGAAATAAACTTAATAGCTAAAGTGTTTATATTTATTAATTTTTTAATAGGATTTTCTCATTCAAATTTTGTATTATCAAAATTGAAGCTTCTAGTTATTACTGGTCAGTTCTTATGTCGCACCTGTCATATATAAAAGGACATTAATCCTATAAAAATCCCTAACAAAATTCTACATGAGAAAAAGTCATTTTTCTTTCCTTTGTTTTTAATGGGATTTGCTTTCATGCATCTCTCTCCACAAGTAAATCATATTGCAAAAATAAAGAATGATGATATTTTGTTCATAATGAGAGTGGGGTGTAAACCGGTAAAATATTTCGTCCGATAAATCAAACGCTTTGAATGAATACGTGGACCGGTAAAATATTTCGTCCGATAAATCAAACGCTTTGAATGAATACGTGGATCGCATCAGATCGTGTGAGTCCGGTATTTACTAGTGTTCAACTCACTCAATTTTTTTTTTTTTTTTTTTGAG